TGGTGATCCCTAAAGGGAAAAACGAATCTGAGTTAACCTCGACTCTTTCGTTATTTATGTGTATAGATACGGTTTAGCTGTAAAAATGTTACTTTCATACTGAAAAAGAAAACTCTTGTGGTTTTTAAGGGTTTTTTTGATGTTCTTCGTCGTAACTCGCAACTTGCAAGCTCCATCATGCAGACCCTTTTGTCACAGGTATGTATATGTATGAGTTAACTGCATGCTGTCTTAGTTATAATGGACTTGATGATGTATCAGAAGCTTGCTTGTCCTTAGCTGAAGCGGTACTACGAGCCTGAACAAGACCTCCTGCCCCCAGTGAAACTGGAACCATGCATCACTGCTCACGGAGACCAAGTCTACCTCCAGGAGCCGCTGGTACTCTTGTGTGCACTGTACCATATTTGCAAGTTGTTTTATTTCGACTGATATGCGAGCTATAAATATTCTTATGTTTCAGGCCCATCTGCTGAGCTGTACTGTACATTGCTTGATGTGGCTGCAAAACACACGCCAGTCAGCCAACCCCAATGCCGATGACAGTGACGGTGATGAGGAAGAGGAGGAAGGGTACCGGTCGGACCTACATGCTATTCTAGAGAGTATGACAAGACGCATGATGAAGTGCGAACTAGAAGACTTTGAACTGGTATGTCTTGAGATCAAGAGCAAGCAGCTTCTTTGTCCTTAGCAGATTTCAGATTATTCTGCTTTTACGTTGGCTCTGAACCTTGGTCTGTTCCAATATTGCTAAGTCTTATAATGCGTGTATACTGATCAGGACAAGTCGGCTGAGTTTTCAATGGGATCCAGTGTTGGAGTGAAGAATAATATTTATGCTGTGCTGGTGATGGGAGTGTATGAGGTCCTCATGGAGTACAACTTTATCAAAGCCAACTACAGGTAACAAGCACCTGTTTTTGAACTGTGCATTTTGAGAAAGTGTTGTTGTGTTACACAGTTGAATTTATAAACCCACAGCAACTGTTCAGGTCACTACGTTTACTGACTGATACATAGAGCCAGCACTCCCCCTATAGCTGATTTCATAGAAGTAACACAAAAATACTTGAATCTTTACCAAAATAAACGTTTAATAAAGTTAATCATCCTAATTTAATTATGCATCATACAAAACATATGCCATATTATGCAGCGGGGATTTCTTTTTATAATTTACCGTTGTATCTTCCCCCATTTCTTGCAGTAAAAGGTGCTTTGAGGAGATCATCGAGCTGTTCAGCCGTTACCACAAGCTGTCTGAGATCCTGAAGGAGAAGTCTGGAAAGGGTCGGGGGCCCTCACACAAGACCCCCCGCAGTTTATTCTCAATGGGCATCATATCAACATTGATCACTGTGCTCTTCAGGTAAATGGTTTCTTTAGCGTTGCTTACATGGACTACTAGTAGATCTGTGGAATTTAATAAAATCAGTTATTTATAGTTTGCAGCTGATTGTAGGCACTCTGATCGTTTAAATGTATTCATTAAAATGCTAATTAGAAATACTATGCAAACTTGGAAAGTCAAATTCCATGGATAAGAATTAGAAATGGTAAATCAGAACAAATCTTCTTTTGCAGGGATAACACTCAGAGCAGAGAGGAGGCTCTCTCAGTACTTCGTTCAAATGGAGAGTTTGTGCGTTATATACTGAGCGCGGTTGTGCAGAAGATCCAGCAGCTGGATGAAACGGGACACACAGACGGCCCAGATGGACAGAACGCAGACAAGACTTTCCGCTTCCTCTGTGACATGACCAGGTAGAAATCTCTTGGGCTAAATGACAGCACATGATTTGTTTATTATAATACTTATAGGACCAAAAATGAGAATAAACGATCTCTGTCTATGTCTCTTTATAGTGTCCTGATGTGGCGTTACACGAACATCCCCAGCGTGGTTGAGGAGGGGGGAAAGAAGGAGAAGCGCTCCAGTTTGTCTCAGCTGTGTCTGGAGGGTTTGCTCAGGATCTTCACAACCTGCCAACAACGCTACCCCGACAAGATGGCTCAGCTGCTCTCCACCATGGGTTGGACAAGCAGTGAAAAAGCAGTGCATTTTGTAGCAACAAAAAACATGCAGGAATTAATCATTATGTGTTTCTTTGAAATGATGCAGAAAATGGCACAGAGCAAGATGACGAAGGCGATGTTGTAGAGATGAACTACTTTTACATCCGACAGTTTCAGGTGCTTCTGATTTAACACTAAATAATACAAGAAAACTGTGTTTATTAAGTATGACACGTTTGCGAAAATCCAGTTTTCTTTGCCCGTCAACAGAGGGCGCTGTTCACACAGTTAAGTGGCGGTGAGGAAGACTTTAACAGCAAAGAGGCTCAGCTTCTGATCAGCATCCTAAGCGTACTCTCGCGCCAGCTAAAGCCCTCCTCCCAGCAGGTAAATTTATTTTTAAATGCACTCCACCGAACAAATTAACATACTCCTGTTCTAATTCACTAATATCTAATTAACAGTTTGTTCAGATGATCACGTGGACTGTGAAAATCTGCAAAGAGACCAGTTTTGGTAAGTTGTAGTTTACTTAACCTCTGTGTCTATATTAGGTGCATATTAGGTGCCATTTCCTGATGTGTGTGTATGTGTGTGGGGGTTTTCTCTCCCTTTAGAGGATTCTGCCTTCTGTAAGGGGCTGCTCTCTCTGCTCTTCAACCTTCATGTTCTTTATAAGAGTCCTGTAGGCCTACTGCTGGAGCTCTGCCAAGACATCCACAGCGAACTGGGAGATATTGATCAGGTACGAACAATTTTTCTTTGCAGTGTTCAGAGCACAATTTGGCATTAAACTATACCGATACTGTTATTACTGCAACTCGTTTAATTATTAATAAAACTGCACACATAGCTAGAGTTGATAGACAGACTATATTGCCAAAAGTATTCATTCACTCATCCAGATCATTGAATTCAGGTGTTCCAATCACTTCCATGCCCACAGGTGTATGAAATCCAGCACCTAGACATGCAGACTGCTTCTACAAACATTTGTGAGAGAAAGGGTTGCTCTCAGGAGCCACAAGTCCAGCTGTGAAATTTCCTTGCCAGCATATATTCAATTGTGAACTGTTACTGGTGTTTTATCAAAATGACAGGGATTGGGAAGTAGTTGGCCACGTAAAATCATAGAGCAGCGTCAGCGGATAATGAGGCACATAGTGCGCAGAGGTCACAACTTTCGGCGACATTGATCACTACGGACCTCCAAACTTCAGATAAGCTCTGGAAGATTTGTAGAGAGCTTCGTAGAATGGGTTTCAGTGACCAAACAGCTGCATCCAAGCCTTACATCACCAAGTGCAATGCAAAGCATCATATGTAGTGGTGTAAAGCACGTCACCACTGGAGTCTAGAGCAGTGGTGATGTGTTCACTGGAGTGACAAATCAGGCTTCTCCGTCTGGCAATCCATCAGACGAGTCTGGGTTTGGCGGTGGTATGGTGCATGCCAAGACATTTTAGACAGTTTCATCCTCCGAACTTTTCGGGAAGAGTTTGGGGCTGGCCCCTTTCTGTTCAGCATGACTCTAAACCTGTCCATAAAGGCATGGATGAGCCAGTTTGGTGAGAATCTGACTGGCCTTCAGAGTCCTGACCTAAACCCAAGATGACATCTTTTGAATGAATTGGAGCAGACATGGCGAGCAGGCCTTCTTGTCCAACATCAGTGTCTGACCTCACAAATCCACTTCTGGAAGAATGCTCAAAATTCCTATAAACATACTCCCAACCCTTCTGAAAGCCTTCTCAGATGAGGTGAAGCTGTTATAGCTGCAAAGCTGGGCCAACATCATTTGAAACATTATGGATTAAGAATGAAATGTCACTCAAGTTCATATGAAAGAATTTAATGATCAAACAAGTTAAACAAGACTATTTTAAATCCAAGTTTCGTTCCCACAGTACACTGATGACTGTAACCTTCATACACCAACATTAAAGTGCATTTGTGAACTGATTTCTTTTATTTGTTTTCCTGTCTCAGGATGTGGAGGTGGAAAAGCAGTCTAATTTTGCCATTGTCAACATGAAAACTGCTTCAACAGCAGCAGTAAGTGTTGGTTTTCTGACTGACTGGCTGTGAGAGTTATGCCTTCGCTTGTCCCGCTCACCTTCCTCTTCATGTTAATGTCTTGTCCCAGCTGCTGGTCCTGTCTCAAGTTGACAGAGTGCTTGATGAAGTGGACTGGCTTATTGCCAGGAAGAAAAGCCAGACAGCTTCTGACAAATTGGGCTGTGGTAAGAAGCCTTTCACACTGATGCTCACTTTGATTAATGCTGAGGAGGAAGAGATGCGTTTGTCAGCAAGTGGTGCTAAAACGCAAGTGATGCTGTGTTTCATAAATGTGTAGGTGAAGCCACACAGACTGCAGGTCGGCAGGACCCAGTTGAGAAAGCAGTGACGCTGCAGCTTGGGACGCTCTTAACAGCGCTAAGTGAGCTGGTCCAGACGGCCCTGCTGCTGGGCACCTGCACCGTTACACTGTTAAGAGAACTGACCCGCACGTATACCATCCTCACCACGCTGGTCAAATATGTGCGTATTTGTCAACTTGATGTTCTGAGTGAAAATGTCAGGGCAGCTTGCAGAGCGTAACATTACATTTTCTTCATTTTACTTTAGTACATCCAGGTGTGTGTCAGCCAGCACGGGTCGCTGCCAGCTCGCTTTGAGAAGCTGGTGAGTCCGAGCTACTGTCACCTGGCTCAAATTTTCCTGTACAGATCTAACGTCATACTAACTGTTTCATATTTGCAGGTCAAACTATCTGGCTCCCACCTAACACCACAGTGCTATTCTTTTATCACGTATGCTCAGGTATTAGCATGGTTCAGTTGTCCAGCTCCATCGCATTAATGTTTTGTTGTTACAGAAATGACACAAGATGCTTTTTATTCCTCTTAGAGTGGAGACATCAGTGGTGGAGGCGCAGATGACAAAAAGAAAAAGAGAAGGAATGACGTGAACACCGGTGCTTCTGTAAGGCCTCTTGTAAATTTAATGAATGAGGACTGAACAATACAAATTTTGTTTTTAGAATAATGAAATATATGCATACAAAGAAATATAAACAAGTCTGTTATGTTTTTCCTCTTGGAAGGCAAAACTTTTGCGTGAGACTAAAGCTATCCCCAACCTGATCTTCAGCATTGAGCAGTATGAGAAGTATCTCATCACACTCTCAAAGAAATCAAAGGTTTGTGTAAATATTGAAAAAATATATACATTTTTTGAAAACTCTGCAGGCCTCTGAACACTGTAAAATCTATCTGCATGTTTTTCCAGGTAAACTTGATGCAGTACATGAAGCTGAGCACTTCGAGAGATTTCCGCATCAATGCCGCTACTCTGGACGCAGCCCTGCAGGAACAGGATGACAGTCAGGAGGTAAGCGCTAGCTCAGCTCCACAGGAGCTTCAATACTGTTCAACATACACAACAGCATCTTCTCTCCACTTTTACTTTATTATACGAGTCCATAAAACTGACTCCATATCCACACTGTTCCCACTGTTGAAATGTGCATGTAGCTTGATGCTTTGAATGCTCTGAGCTAAAAGTAGATCATTTTTCCCTTCAACACCCTCTCTTTGTTTGTTTGTCTTTGTTCTTCCATTGCTCTCAGACCACAGAGTCACAGGACACCACCGAGACACAAGAACCCAAACAGAAGAAGAGGAAACAGTGAGGTCATACTGGGCACCACTGCTACACACACACACGCACGTCCAGACTGCAGCAGTGGGCGAACGGTGTCCTGGCAGTTGTATGTTTGGAATAAAAGCTGTCTGGTCCACAAAGAGCTATCTCCCTTTGTTTAGAGAGCCTTTAGTGATGTCGATGATTTGGTAGATGTCCAAGGCCTCACCTGTGGAAAGTTTGCACACATTATTTAGTATTCTGACCGTGTTCCTCGAGTTCACTTTATCAAAAAGCCTTCTTGCATTTCCAACCCCAGTCTTTGTCTTGATTACATTAAAATAGTCATTTCTAATTTGGCTTATTTATAATTTGAAACTTATTTGATTTACTTCCTTTAAGGAAATCTCGTGATAAACAAGCTTTTGCTTAAAATTCTTGAAGACTAACTGAATACTGTGTGGTCATGCTAAGAGGTGGATTTAATTACTTTCCATATACATTATTGTATTTTAAAGAGATGTTTAGTCCAACTTTTGTAAGGTGTTGTTTTAAAACAAATTGCTCTGTACACGAGCATTTTTGTAGCTTTAAGTGCTAGAGCTAAATTGCATGTTCTTGCGTCTGAATTTGTTACATTTAGATTTTGTAATGAGACAAGCTGTCCTGTCTTTCCTGTGCACTTTGTAGAAGAAACATTTGTATAATAAATATACTACTCTTAATGTTGGAAGAAGGCTGGTGATGGTGTGCAGAACTCACCAGGCGGTAGACCGTACTTTCGTTCCACACCTGTGGGATTGGAGGGAGTCACACAGTCCATGTTGACCTCCTTCCTCAAACACTGATCAATGTCAACTGCACTGAAGAAGGCTACAGACTGGGGAAGGTCCTGCATGCCTAAAGCATGAGCAAACATACTCCTGCAGGAAGAGAAACACAGTAACCATCCATTATAGAGCACACAGTTTGTCAGTGAGAATAAACGGTCAGCTAAGAGCACACCTTGTAAGGAGGTTTGTGATTTGAAGTGCCAGAGCTGCTCGGTAACAGTCGTCACTGCGGACCAGGTACCGCACCTCATCATGGATGCTGATGCAGAAGCGGCCATCGATGTTATACTCCTCAATGAGCCACTTCATGACCACCAACATCAGATGGAGGTAGTCCACTGCAGAGCTCTGAACCACCCAGTTCACTCTGCTGGTGATAAACTGAAAGGAGACATTAATGAAGAGTTTATTTTGCCATTTAGAGCCTTCTGACTGACCTCTTGAGTAATGCATTGGTTGTTCGTTGTATTGGCAAAACAAATCATATCCCTTTAAATACTCAGATTAAATCATATATATATTATACTCCTGTTGCCAGCTTTAGTCAGTCACCTCATCTTTAACCGCCTTGGGCTCCAGTGCTCTGCTGATCCTGCAGCCTAGAACAGGAGTGGCCGGGTTCTTTGAATGGGCTATACTCTCCAGCTTATTGAACATGTCCGACTCAGTACCTCCAGCCCACAGACGCTTCCCAACAATATCCCATCTTTTCCGTCGAGAACTGAGATGGTGTCAGGAGCACAAAAAAAGCAAAATTAAAGAGGAGAGCACCTGAGAGGAGGATATTCAGGGACAGCAAATGGGTTATTGCAAGCCAGGCACTTGTGAATGTTTGTGTTTTGCGTTCTCACGATTGTGAAGCCACTCTAGTGATCCTCCGCAATTCTTGGAGGGAGACGCTTCCATCTTCCTCCCGCTCCACATCTATACCCAGTTCATTCACCAGCCACTCGCCGTCCTCTGACAAATGATATCTGACAAATACAAACACCTGTCTTTTTATAGCAGATAACCACCTTAAACATATTCTGCAGTAGAACAAAAACAGAAGAAAACCATTAATCAACATATAAACATTACCTGATGCTGCTGAAGTGAAGCAGAGCAAAGTTACGCAGGTTTAATTAGAGACACAGCTAAGTGTTTTGCAATTTCGCAAAAGTTTAAAAAGTTTAAATGTCTTCAGTATTGAACAGCAGAAATGAGGCTTTCTTGTCGGAGGTCAAATTTAAATTAAAAAAAAAAAAGCAGCAGTAGACAGCGCTGTAAACAACGGTAGACTTGTGCGTAAAAAGCAAGCGAATAATGCAGAAAACAGATTTTTAGATAAGAAACTGTTCTTGAAGTGCACTGAGAGAGAGAGAGCTGTGCATGAAGTGTCATTTTACCGTGGCGGAAGCAAAACACGAAAAGTAAGAGGGAATTCATGACGATGTTTATGTGAAGCGTAGTCTGGATCTTCTTTTGCTGCTGGTTCAGTCAAATTTGGTTAGAGAGAGACAAAGCCTACAGCTCCAGAATCTAGCGCAAAAAAACCCACGTAAACACAATGCACGGACCCACCGGCGCATCAGAGTCTGTGAGCTGTCGGCATGACGGCGTGTCCGTGTACGTGCAGTCGGGTGAGAAAACCGAAATCTCACCGATTCTTATCCGTCGGCGGTTCCGCACTTTGTGTTTAGGTCTTCATGCCGAATCCGTGTACCTGCTCTCATTTGCGTTTTTAGCTGTTTGATGGTTGTCAAAATTTTGTGAGGTTTAACCTGAGATTCTGGCGTTTCGGACAAAATAAATTTATATTTAAGAATCAATTCAAGATTTTAACGAATCGATATCGCGTTATTCGAGCTAGAATCGATTTTAATCAGAAAACTGATTATCAAAACCCACCCCTACGTTGAACTTACCTGCGTATACCTTTTGTTAGGGCATACATCTGTCTGGCCTTCCTGGCAGCTCCTGTCTGACTGAGGCGGTGGTTGAACTGCATGAGCAACCTCTCAGCAAAGGGCTGCCCGGCGCCATATATGCGTCCATAGTTGAACACCTTTGCGTGCTCTCGGCTGATGCCCACAGCATCAGCGGTACGGCTGTGCAGGTCGGTGCCTTCACTCTTCTTTCCCTGGAGGGTCATCCAGCCAAATGCTGTACAACCTAAACCACAGAGAGACATATGCAGCATTGTCATTAAAGGAAGACGCATAACAAAGTCTCCTTCTGTAGATTTCTTTAGAACCAAACCTGTCATACCGTGCATGCCTGCAAAGTGAGCCTCTCCAAGCACTGCGGCAATCCACAACTCTTGTGAATCTACATCCGCTCCTATCAGGTGATATCCAGGTGGTACCTGCACCATGGCCTTTAGCTCACTGCCTACCCGATCCCGCTGTTGACACAGAATAAAGCCCATGCAGAATTGCTCTAGTGTCTGGTCAGTATTTTCAGACTCATCCAGATTAGCGTGTCGGCTCTGCTTCTTACCCGTGCATTACTGGCAGTCAACCACGTCGGCTCCACAGCTCTACGCGTTACCGTTCCAGCAGTAACGACCTGAGGTAATATGGCACCATACTGGCCCTCCTCATCGAAATCTTTGTGTCTTTAGGGAAATGTTACATTCATTAACCTCATTACTTTATGTCTAATCAATCAATCTTTTATTTTTTTTTTTAAATATTAGACAAACCTGCTGACAAAATGGGGAAGCTCTCCTTTTCTGAGCCACAGCACCATCTGAGAACTACGAGAAGACCTTTTAGCATTACTAAAGTTTATTTGTTATCGAATTACTTTGATTAACTCTGATGGGAGTACCTTATACGTTTATGGGCATTCCTCCAGAAAGACATCATTTTGTTGATTTCCAGAGCTCGTGTTGCATTGGTGCCACCTCTTCCTGCTCTCAGAGTGCCGTCCTCCATCTTGGACAGGAAGTCCTTGGAGAACGGACTGCCGACATTGTTGTGATTGCCATCCTTTAAACACAAATAATTGGTCACAAGGTAAAAATAGCTTGGTGGAACAACACTGTGCCTATGATATATATTAATTATATAAATTCACCTTATGAGGTAATTTGAAAAACCAGCAACCTGGTATATCGACATCATTGTAGGGGCCGTTTCCATGGTGATAATGGCAAGGACTCCCCTCTTTCATATAAAGTGGATCTGTAGACTATTGTTGGTAAAGAATACAAAGTATAAACAAATCATAGAGAAACACTAAACCTGACACGAAAGGTGTAATTTAAACTTACAAGCCCGTGCACTCACCCCGTTTTTGTTCTTCTCTACACTTTTTCTCATTCTGAGGGCGTTTTCCTCCATCTGGCTTTCCAGGGAACTTAATTCCTCCACCTATACATGAGAATAAGAAAAAAACATTATTAAGGTAGATGTGTTATCCGTTCAGAGCACGTAGCCCCGATCAATCAC